CTGAGACTGGCAGCGTCGAAATGTGAAGCCAGCCCCAGGTACGCTGGCGCCGAGACTGGTACATTCCGACCCGTTCACGGAGCCCTGTTCTTGGTGCTGGCATCAGGGTGGGCCTTTTAAATTGTTGGCTCTTAGCCTACGCGATGTGGGAACCTCTCCTGCTCGGGGCAGGAAAGGGAGTGTCTCCCACCAACCTCTCACCGCTGTGGGCATCCCAGTCAAGCAGGGGTGATGGCTTGGGCTTCTCTGCACATCCCATCTTCCTGCAGGGGGGCCTAAGGTGGGCAGAGACTCAGGAGTGGGTAAATTGAGTGACTGATTAGAGGGAGAAGGGGCTCTCCCATGGGCCTGGAGCGCCCAGGAAGGACTTTATCCCTTTAGAGAAACAGTAGGAGGTGACCTAGGCCAGAAGCATCTTTCCCTCACCTTTTGAAGATCATTGCGGTGAAGGGCCCTGGCAGGCCCAGTGCCCACCTGTCCAATGACAGCCAGTTGCACCCCTTAACTGGCTTGTGAACTTCCTGTCTGTGCCTGTCTCGAAGGCTAAGACCTGGCTCGCCGTGTTTCCAGGGTCCAGCACATCGCTGTGCTGAGAAGGAGCTTGGCTTCAAGCCCACGGGCTCTTTACAGAAGATAATGACCCAGGACTGGAGTTTGTGAAGGCCAAGAGTTAATGGGCATCTCCTGGAAGTTAAGGCATTAGTGACTGTGAGGAGGATGTTGCCCTTTTGGGAAATGATGTAAAATATTCTTCAAGTCTATTTGAGATACTGAATGTCATGAATGAACTGTGGCCCATTCAGAGTCAGCTTCAAATCGCTATGGAGGCACTACTGGTTGAACTGGGTCCTTCCAAAACGATCTGTTGAGGCTCTAACCCTTAGTACCTCAGAATGTGACTTTGTTTGGAAATAGGGTCTCTACGGAAGTGACCAAATTAAAGTCAGGCCATTAGAATGGACCCCAAATGTCCAGGAGTCCTTACAAAAAGGGAAAACTTGGACACAGAGACAGACACACGCTGGGGGAAGACGATGTGAAGGCAGGAATTAAATAACATGTCTATACTCGAGGGAGTGCCTGAGATCTCCAGCAAGCCCCCAGAAGCCAAGAGAGAGGCACAGGACAGGTCTTCCCTTGGGATCCGCCCCTCTGACACCTTGATCTCAGACTTCAGCCAGCACATTTGTGTTATCTTAAGCCACACAGTCAGGGGTCCCATGCCTGGTCACCCCAAACTGACAAAGATAGCAAAATCTCTTTCCCCATGGCCTGTGCAATTGAGAGAGACCGACACGGTCCTGGCAGAAAGGGCCCTGGGGTCCTCACCACTTAAGGCCGTTGTTCCCGTTGGGGCCCACCAGGACAAAACTCCTGAGCAGCCTTTGATATCCAGGCCTCAAGCCGGGCACCTTCTAGCTTCTCTTTCATTCAATCCCTCCACGATCCTCAAAAGGAGGTCTTGTTCCTAGAGCAAGGGAGGTTGGGGCACTTCACTTGGCCAGGGTTGCACAGCCAGGACCTGTCCCCAGCAGAGGAAGATGGGCAGGTGGAGGAGACCTCGCTGCAGAAGAGCCTCTGACACTGCCCGGTTGCTACCAGGGTTTGAGGTGAGTTGACCCGATCTTTTGGCTCCATCCCTCGTATTTCAAACTCTGGGGCAGGCTGGGTATGTGGAGGGCTCATGTCTTCCTTGGATCTCTCACTGAGGAACACAGGATTGTAGGGGAAAGTTCAACCTTCCACTAAGGATAGGAACCCCCAAGTACTTCCCAAGTGCCAGTTTTCGCCGTTTATGGAGCACTTTCTCGTGCATGGGCCTTGGATGGGAAACACTGTGCCGTTTTAAGGAGGGATGGCTAGTTGTGTTGGCTAACTGGTATTAGTTAAACATTTAACTGGTGTTAGTTAAATGCCCAAGATGCCGCTCTGCCATGAGGACTCTGCCACTTGAGCTTATACTTAAGGAAAGATGCATGTAGGTTTCACTTAAAAGGGGTTTCTCCTGGGGATGTTTTGGTGTTGTTCTAACCCAGACTTGGAGAAAAACATTTCCCAGGAGTGTTTTCTGTCTTTACGACTTGTCTCAGTTTGTTTTGTCGCCGGGAGCCCCATTGGCTGAGAGGGTGTTGGGATTTCCCAAGTTCCCTGTCAGGAGGGGGCCCGACTGCCTCTTCGCTGGGTCATCTTGTCAGTTGCAGGAGGTCCTTCCACTCTGGCCACTGGGACACAGGGAAGCTCTAGGCTGGGCAGGTCAGCCCCGGCGAAGAGAAGGTGCTGCTGACCGCTCCATAGAGGACCAGCAAGAGCCGGACCCCTGACTGGGAAATGCAGTCCAGGCTGGGGTGCTGGTTCCCTACAGATGCAATTTCCAGCTTCTGCCACTGAAGCACGTTCTGCTAAAAGCCTGGACTCTGGAGTCAGACCGCCTGGGTCCAAATCCCTTCCAGGGTAAGTGGTTGCTCCTACTTTTGTAAAATGGGGGTGATGGGTTGTTGCAAAGACTAAATGATGAATATTTTTCAAGCACTTAGAAGAGGCCCTGGCATGTAGCGAGCACCACTCTAAGTGATTGCCGGGGTTATTTTATTTTCATTATTGTTATTACTGTGAACTCATTCAGCCAATGTAGATTGAGGGCTGTGCGTGTGGAGTCAGATGGACTAGGTTTAAATCCCGGCTTTGCTCTTTTCTAGCAACCCTGGGCACTTGACTTAACTACTCTGTGCCTTGATTTTGTCTTCTGTGAAATGGGGATAATAAAACTACAAGTGTCATAGGTTGGTGGTGAGGATAAGAGGCTCACGGTGAGCATTAGTGACTCCTAGGTACTACTGTCATGATGGAAATCTGTGTGACTGTGATTCCTGCTGGCTGTCGGCTCAGGCCCCCCACAGCTGCCTTGGGAGAGACTTAGGGTCACTTTGGGCAGATCCACTTCTGAGGCTGCAGGATCACCATTGGAGGCCCAGGCAGCCCTTCCTATGCCCTCCCTGGATTCTCCCTGCCCACCTAGAGCTGAGATCCAGCCCATCCCGGCATGTCCCTTACCCCCTAGTCCTCTTTCTCAAACATTGATCAGGTTGCCGGACACTTCAAGAGGTTACCCACTACACAGATTACAGTTCCAACTCCTCACGGGCCCTCTGCCTGCATTGTCTGCCTTGGGCCCTGCTCGCCCCTCCCCAGCTCCTCTGAGGGTGGGGCCTCCATTGCTCCAGCCACAAGGGCACATCAGGGGTGAGGTGTGCCCTCCATTTCAACACCCGCATGTAAAGGGTGCTCAATAAACACTTGTCAACAAATGAGCCGGTGGGTGAACCCGATTTCAAGCATCCTTTAGAGAGAAGATAATGTATCTCTGTTATTATGTAATAAGACAGGTGACAGTTCCACTATAGGGTTGCCAGCCTTGGGCATGGGATGCCTTCATCAATCCACCTCAGGACGAGGCAAGGGGACATGTCACCTCTTGCCCCTGTGGATGGCTTATGGATGGCTCTCCTCACCTCTTCTGCACACTCCTGTCAGAAGCTGCCAGCTTTAGACGCTCCTGTTTCTGTTCTGTAGTATTGATCGTTTAATATTCAAGAGGTGGCATTTAATAAATATGCAAGCAATTATGTAATGTGTTTGGAAACAATCTGGTCAGCCCCAAAGTGCTTGGGCAGGAAACCGAACTTGAGTGCAGTAAGAGGTCTGAGTGATCTCCAAGGGTGTTGAGGGAGGCCGTGGCCGGCCTGCTGCCTGCTCCCTCCCAAGGTGGCCTGCGGGTCCTCATCTTCCTCAAGCTGCAGGCACGGGGCGGGGCGGGGCCTGGGAAGCCAGCTATGTCTGCACAGTTAGGAAGAATCTGAGTTGCAGGCATCCTGGCTGCAAAGCTTCTTCTCTCTGGGTCTCAGTCTTCTCATCTGTGTAAAGAGTTGACAGTGCCTGATGGGGAGGTCAGATGAGAAGATGACCCCGAGCTCTGGCTCAAGGATGTTCACGCGGAACGAGAGTTGGGTCTGACGCTGCAAGGTGAGTGACGAGTCTGGCCCCCAACAAAGTGGAAATGGTGCACTGGGCATGGGCTCCAGCGTTTACATAATGCAAGGTGGACTGAGCGAGGCAGTAAAGAGATCCAAAGAAAAGGCTTCAGGGGCACAGAGGGAGATGGGGTCATCTCAGCAAAGGGCCAGAAAAGCTGCACCAGATCTGCCAAGTGTGCTGCCCTAGAAGGCAGAGAGAGGGCTGCCCCATTTAATTAACCTGCATTAGGCGACTAGCATGTAACTCACTCAACAAGTATTGATGAGCACCTACTATGTTCAGCTACTCTGCTAAGCACCTTCTACAGCTTGTTTGATTTGCATGAGATGCTGCTGTTATCCCCATTTTATAGATGAGGGAACTGAGGCTCAGAGGGGCTGCCCCAGTTGCAGAACTGGCATTTGAATCCAGGTCTGAGTCCCACTTCCAAGCCCTCAGTACTCACTAACCCAACTGCAGCCACCCAGCCGGCCTGCTCTGTCCTCTCCCTCAGCTCTCAGCACATGCCCCGGCAAGCCCGCCTGACCACCCACCTCTGGGGCTCCATAAGCAGCCCGGAGCCTCATCCAGAGGGCAGGAGAACGAACGAGGACCAGGAGAGGTGGTTGGCCCTTCATGCAGGTACCAGTCTGTCCTCTCAGGGCACAGGCAGTGTCAGAGCTCCCCGGCTTCCCAGCGCCAGTGCCGGGACAGACCCCGGGACTGATAACCATGCACCGTTATCAGACATGATGCTGTCTTCCTCCCCACAGTCCACACCATACTCCCTGTTTCACACAGAGCAGGGACTTCAGGGGATCTCCTCAAACCAGCCTAGTGGTGTACAAGTAACACACTGCCAACAGAACAGCCGAGGCAAGGAAGCTATGTCCAGACACTATGCTCTGGCTCAGATGACCCTCCGTCAGCACCCTGCAGTGGCTCTTTTCCCAGATGGCCCCCCAGCAAAGTCCCAGTCTCCAACTCACCCCTTCACGTCTTCTGGTTAAAGGAGCGGCGTCAGGGATTGGAAAATGGGGCCCATGTCTTGCTGGCTCAGGGGACTGGGTGACAACGTTCAACTCTGGAAAAGGCGAAAGACGGCATTGGTTAGGGGTGGGGGACCCAGTGGGTACCTAGGTCAGGAAGGAGAAGGGTAAAGAACAGTGGTGTGGGGCGTCCCCAGAGTGCAGGCTCTGGGGTAGGGCCAGGGTCAACAGAGACCCAGCCCCTGCCTTCTACACTGAGACCCACCAGGGTGGGCATGTCCCTGCCCAGGCCCCAAGCCCATCTCAGAGGCTCAAATCCTCTTGCTGGCAGGGGTCACGATGGGGTCTCCCTGTCTGCGGCTGATGTGGCCTGGGAGGGCAGAGGGGGTGTGGCAGAGTGGCCACCGGTGTGTGCTCTGGAGGGTAGTGGCCCTTCCTTGGGCAAGTGGCTTCACCTTTCTGAACCTCTGCTTCCCCATCTGGAGGAGAGAAATAGTAATTCCTATTTTTCAGGATTTTTGTGAGGGATAGATGGGCATTGCACCTTGGCTCTCGGGAACACTCAGTGATCAGCAGCAGAAGACCACTGGCTGCTGCATGTCTCTCTGCAGCCTCCTTTTATTTATCCATCGATTAATCTACGTGCTCATTTGTGACTTTTATTTTAAATAGTTATCAGTCCAAAGGAAGTTGCAAAGAAATGTACAGAGAGGTCCCAAGCCTCTCCCCACGGCTCCCCCGAAGGTTAACTTGCACAACTCCAGAGCACTGGTAAAACCAGGCCCGTGACATCACACAACCCATAGCGCCTGCTCAGTGCTCACCAGAGGGACACGTGTGTGTGTGTGTGTGTGTGTGTGTGTGTGTGTGTGTGTGTGTGTCTGTGTTGCTCTCCGAAACTCTACGCAAAACCCTCCCACCACGGTCAAGAATGCAGACCTGTCCCATCCCCGCAAGGCTTCCTGGGGTCCCCATCACAGTCAGGTCCACTCCCTCCTCCCTTCCTCCCTAACACCTGGCAGCCACCAACCTACTCTCCATCTCTACAATACTGTTCTTTCCATTATGTTATACTCGTGAAATCAGGCAGAGTGTAGCCTTTTGGGACAGGCTTTTTTCACTCAGCAGGATTCTCTGGAGATTCCTCTAGGTTGTTGCGTGTATCAGTAGCTTATTCTTTTTTTGTTGTTGAATAGTTTTTAAAAATTATTGAGTACTAGTCCCTACATGGATGTACTGTGCACAGTTTGTTCAAACTTTGATCTGTTAAAGGACATCTGGGTTGTTTCCAGTTTTGGGCTATTGTGAATAAAGATGCTATAAACAAGCCGGGCTCGGTGGCTCAGCCTGTAATCCCAGCGCTTTGGGAGGCTGAGGTGCGTGAATGGCCTGAGCCCGCGGGTTCGAGACCCGCCTGGGAAGGGGAGACTTCATCTCTACAATAAATCAAAAAATTAGCCGGGCGTGGTAGCGCGTGCCTGTCGTTCCAGCTACTGGAAGGCTGAGGCGGAAGGATCGCCGGAGCCCAGCAGGTCG